GCTACGCGATGCCGACCACAATCTCAACCTCGGGCAGTTATTAGAGAAGGCTAATCGAAATAGCTGCTCTAGAAGCACGAAAAATGGCTAAACAAGATGCAAATAAGTTCAACTATGTGGGAAACAACGGTGGGGGGCCTAGCAGATGGTTCTTCAAACCAGGGAAATTTAATGAAAAGACGTACGGAGATCAGGTACGTAAAGATCTGTCAAACCATCGCGGTAGTTTTAAAGTCAATAGTTATATTTTGTGCTACAATTGCTACAAAAAAGGGCAGTTATCGTACAACTGCACGTTGCCTAAGGCGAAAAAACCACGATTTGGGTTGCAACCCCCTAAAGGAAACGTGAACCGAAAAAGAGCATACGAAGAGAGGATTAATCAACTGTCGGCAGCCATGGAAAATCTCAAGATGAGTTTAGAAGAAGATGACGAACCATACGACGGAGAATCGACAGAAGAACAGGACGATGAAGATGAATCATGTAACTGGGTAAACAACGTGATATTAGGTGAGTCCAAAAGTTTAAGACCCGCTTTTGTGGAATCAACAGTTGAACATAAAAAAAATATTGATGGAGTGCGATACGGGTGCTTGTGCTACAATTTGTTCCTCAAATACATATAAAGAAAATTTTAGTATGTGTGATTTATTACCCGATCACAGAAACTTTTTTGCTATCTCAGGAGAAACAGTTAAAGTATTAGGCAAAATAAAAGTACATGTGAAGTTAAATGAGAGAATATTGACTCTCTTTCTATTAGTCATTAGATCCCCTAAAAATTTCATACCCTTATTAGGGCGTCATTTTCTTAATGTTATATGGCCACACTGGAGGGACACATTTAATCTCAATTCTCTTTGTGAAATGAAGAGAGAGATTTGGGTGAAAAATACGATCAAAAGGTTAAAGCAAGAATTCTCTGAAGCTTTCGATAACGATTTGACCGAACCAATAAGAGACGTGGTAGTAGATATCAGAATAAATGACCATGCGAAACCTATTGTTCATAAACCATACACAGTTGCATTCAAACACCGAGAAACAGTAGCTAAACACTTAGAAGACCTCGAAGCCAAGGGTATTCTTGAAAAAGTAGAATATGCCGAATGGGCATCTCCCATTGTAGTGGTAGTGAAACCGAATAAAAAAGATATCAGAATATGCATGGATGGCTCAAAACCGTAAACCCACACATTATCACGCATCATTACCCTCTCCCAGTGATTGAAGAACTGATAATTAATAAAAGCGGCGCGAAATAAATACAGATAAAGGTTTGTTTGCTTATAAAAGGTGACCATTCGGAGTGAAACCAGCGGCCACTATCTTTCAGTCAGTAATGGATAGAATATTACAAGGCATTCCGAATTTTCAAACTTATATCGATGACATCCTCATTTGGGCAGAGTCAGATGATGAACTTTTAGATACGATCAAAATTGTATTGAGCAGGCTAGCGAAATATAACGTAAAGATTAATGCCGAGAAGTGTGAGTGGTTTGTGTCTCAAGAGAAAGTGAAAGCGATTACGGCCGTGGCAGTGCCAACATCAAAAACACAGCTCAAAGCATTTCTCGGCATGATAACGTTTTACACAAAATTCGTTCCAAAGCTTTGTTTAGTTCTTTCTCCACTTTACAACCTTTTGACAAAAGAAAGTAAGTGGAATTGGGATTCCAGTTGTAACGAAGCATTTGAAAGTAGTAAAAAAGCAATTTGCAGCGCAATGATACTCACACATTTTGATCCCTCTAAATCTATTACTGTGACTTGTGATGCAAGTGACGATGGCATTTCAGGTGTTTTAAGTCATACAGAAAAAAATAAAGAAATGCCAGTATGTTTTGTCTCCCGTCGTCTGACCAAAGTACGTGCTTGGACAAAAAGTGTCCATTGTTACTGATCACAAACCTTTATTGGGTATTTTCAACCGGAAAAAAGGGGGGCCGCCAGTAATCGCTACAAGGTTACAAAGATATTTCTTGAGATTATCTGTATTTGATTTCACTATTACTCACATGGCTGGAAAGGAAAACCACGTAGCAGATTGTTTATCAAGATTACCTTTGAACGAACATTTAAGTCAGGCAGATTTAATAGAAAGTCAACAGAGCTCTTTTAATGGATTGAATTACTTGGTTGATGATCGAACGGTTTACCTAAACGCGAAAGTTATAAGCATAGAATCTGCTAGGGATCCACTGATATCTACAGTATTAAACTATGTCCAAAAAGGCTGGCCAAGTCATGTAAAAGTTGAAAATCTCAAAAACTATTATTCAAAAAGACATGAACTAAATGCTGAGTCAGGGTGCCTAATATTTGGCGAAAGAATAGTTGTTCCAAGTGCCTTAAAACTGCCTTCTCTTCAGTTGTTACATTCGAATCATCGAGGAATTAAAAAAATGAAGCAAATTGCTAGAAGATTTTTGTACTGGGATGAATTTGGAGCAGATATTGAAAAATACGTAAGTTCGTGTAAAAAATGTCAAATTTTAGGAATAGACAGAACTCCTAGAGTGTATGGAAACTGGCCAGCAGCTACCAAACCATTTGAAAGAATTCATATAGATTTCTTTCAGAAATTCAATCGTACATTCTTGATATTAGTTGATGCTTATTCTAGGTGGATTGAGGTCCGCAAAATGTGTAAAACAAACGCAGAGATTGTTACACAAGAGCTCGATAATATTTTTGCTATATTTGGGTTTGCAGCGGTAATAGTGAGCGACAATGGACCTCCATTCATTAGTTTCAATTTCAGGAAGTATTGCGAATTGCGAAACATTGAACACATTCTTTCTCTGCCCTACCATCCAGCTAGCAATGGGCTAGCAGAAAGGGCAGTACAAACCACAAAAGCGGTGTTAAGCAAACTAATCGATAACGATTCTTTTTCACAATTACAGATCGACAATGAAGTTAATAAATTCTTGCATCATCATCGTCAAACACCTACTACAGAAGACAAAATAATTCCCAATGGACGTATATTTTCTTTTTCTCCTCGTACAGAGCTATCGAACATAAAAGCAAATAGAAATCTGTTCAGTGGAACTTGTAAATCCCAAGTTAATGCAAAAGATTTCAAAATCAGTGAAAAAGTAGTTTGCACGCACAAAGCAAATGAACGAGCATTCAGCTCTGAAGCTATTATCATAAAGAAATTATCAAAGCTAACATATTTAATTGATATAAACGGCGACACGCGAACAGCACACAAAAACCAGTTAAAGTGCATTTCACAAAAACCATTTTTTTTTTTAAATTACATAGATTCTGCTCCGGTGGAACCAGAAAACAAAGAAATAGATACAAAATCAATCACAAGTAAGAACTCTTCAAGAACAGGAAAAAAGTTTAAACAGAATCTATACCAAAGCGTACGTCACTCAAGTAGAATCAAAAGCTCGAAGCATAGGAATATAAATTAATTTGAAATTATTATCTAAAAAAAAACATGGTATATAATACATAAGCCACAGTAGGATAAGGTAGAATAATTGATCATTAAAATTGAACTCTAAGCATAACAACAGTATTCATAAAACTACAGAAATTTAAAAAAAAAACATACTAAAGGGGGGAGATGAGAGGAGCGATGTGATATATTCTCATATCGCTCAATATATATATATATATATGGGTGTGTATGAATAGGTTCAATAAAGCTCACAGTGAATTTACTATCGCAACTATCAAGACGTGTTTTCCAATAGTGATCCGAAATAATTAAAAAGTAAACTCTCGATCGTAACAGTAATAAAAGTAACAAATTTGTCTTGATTACAGATCCCAGCATCAGCAATATTGCCCCATCGACAGCTCTAGTGCCGAATCATTCGGGACCCTTTCTAACACTACAACAATTCATTTGAGGGATACAACATTTAAAAAATATACAGTTAAAATTATAGAGGTTTCACCAATTAAAAAGAATCAAACCCAAAAACAAATTCACCGACCAATAGCCGTCCTACGTTAAATTTCCACTCGTGCCCCCAGGCACAGACTCTTCTACGTTTAAAAAAGCTGAAGAATATAACTCCACACCGCACACACTCGTGAGGTAGTCAACCGAAATTTCATCTTTTCTTTACATTTTGATTTTTGAATCCTCTGCCGGGTACGTATTTGTACCTAGCGAGTCAATCCGCTAATGCTTCTGTTGATAATAATGCTATAGAGCTTTTTAACGTTTAATCGGCGCACACTACTGCACCATTTAAATCGAAACAAACCATCCATTCATCCATGTGTGCTCGATAGAGAAAGACGATTAAACGTCGAAAAGGTCTACTACCCTCTACTACCACTTTGCACACTGACTACTATACTAATAGCGAATTCGTTTATTAACCAGTTCCAACCCAGTGCGAAACCGAACTTTTTGTCAGTGCGAACCTCAACCTGAGCTATAGGTTTTAAAAACAAACGAGCAAACTGACGTTTGTCAGAAAACAAGCAGACTCAATCCGGATCGGGTAGGTTGGAACTGAATAATAAACGAATTCGCTATAAGTGTATGCACGAGACACAGACCAAACACACTCTTCTTACACACTAAGATTTTGTTTCCGTGCTCGGTAAATTTTACCGAAATCAGAACAGCTGAACGTTCAGTAAAACTTTGACCTTCATTTTAAAGGCTATTGAATTTGAAAAATAATATCAAAACATGTTCAACCTTGTTTAAATGATCAAATCTTGTCATTTTAGTGGAGATTTAGTTTCAAAGTAACTGAAAAGCAATTGAAAAGTTCAGTTGTTCAGATTTCGGTAAAAATTACCGAAGTCGGCGATAATTTCTAAGTTTGTATCATGGTGGGTATAGCATGGTGATCCAGCATTGTAACTATATGGGGGAGGAGATCGCGGGAGGAAATAGTACGGATTTAGAGCAAATTGTAAACAAATTCGGTCACTCCTCCATACAGAAATTCAACATGACTGAACCATGAATATGACTCATTAGAACACCTATATGTACTCACCTTGGTTCTTATTATACGATTTGGCGAAGGATTTACCCGGCCTCTGATCGTCTTTTCGATTTCGAAAAAAAACAGTAAGGTTCACTACTTGAGGTCACTTTTCGGAAGCGACAATTTTCCTCGCTTGTATACTGCTATCGCACTTTTGAACGGATGTATTTTCCGGGACTTCAGCGGGGTTGAGTCATCGTTTCACGAGAAAATACCACAGCAGGTTAATAGTATTTGCACCACGTTGCAGACTAAACACGATATCAACCAAATGTTATCCAGCAAAAGCGAAAAATGTCTTCCGACAGGAAACCAAATTCTTCAGAGTCGCCAATGAGACCACGCTTAAAAGAATAATCCACTTTGATTCGACTACTACAAAACGAAAACTAAAATTAGTATAACGCCCATTCGCGATCAAAAGTTGGCTCTCGTGGCGAACATGAGAACTACAGAAGTGACGATGGTTTCAAAATTTCGTCACGTTGAGGAGTGGGAGAGAATTTTTATTTGCTTGTATTTTTCGGACTAAGCAATTTGATTTAATTTGACTTGACATTGATAGATTGCATCATCATGCTTATATAATATAATATTGTATTTTGCATTTGAAACTGGACTCCTCAGAAGTGATCAATCGCCAATAAAAGTGCGCTTTTGCGTTGTTCCGTCTTGGTGTCTTCTGCGCACTTATTTCTTATGAACCAAGGAATAAGTGCGTGGCAGACCCAAATTCATTTACCCTAATAGCGCACTTTTATAAGCATTTCCGCATTTATGGTCGCCCTTATAATGTGCGCAATAAGCAATACAAGTAAATATTTTTTTTTAAATCTGTCCCATACCTCACTGTGAAGGAATTTTGAAACCATCATCATTTCGATTTTTATTATGCTGGTCACGATGGCCAACTTTTGATCGCAAAAAGATGGGCGATCGAATGTTCAATAGATGCGATCCACACACACACACTACCTAGTTCACTCATATCATAATCACTACTTCGGGGCCATCCATATACCACGTGGACAGTTTTCGAGAGGTTTTAGACTCCCTCATCTCCTTCCTTGTGGACGAGTTTTGCAAGTTTGTAGGTACCGTTAACCTTTGCCAAAACCCTTCCTCCGCACCTAAAAAGTCCTCGTGGTATATGGACGGCCCCTTTGAATTGTATAACTATAAAGTGCCCCATAGACATTGCCATGTGGTTGTACAATCAGACTGCGTTGATGCTCGCGATATAGGGTAGATGTACCAGTTATCGATATACGTACCTATTATAGTGTGTTCCATGGAATTCTCATGGGCCTTAATTGAAACACATCATAATAGGAAAAACGTATAGCCATAACTGGTACATCAACCCTATCATCGCTTATCAATTCGTAGAATACAAAATTCATGCTTTTGCTTGTACGTATGGAATTTGTGCAAATCCAATGCCGGTGACCAGCGGTTATCCGTCTACTGATATGGATTCTATTTTTAACTCTTTTGCAAAACAAACGGCAACACGCGCAATGAATGACACACAGTGAAGGAAAAATAAAAACCAGCTGAAAGCTTGCGACCTAGACTAGATAGAAGATGGCGGTCTTGGACAAAGTTGTTCTGATGAATAAGACCTATAGAATGATGGACAGCTCAGTTCAGAATTAACTTGTGACGATGACGATGATTATTATTATTATTATTATTTATTAGTGACACTTTATCACTTCTGTGACATTCGTGTCTCATTTTTATGACAAATTGAATTATCTTACGAACTAAATTTCTTTGAATAAATTAGCATCTTTCAAAAATTTAATTACTGCTTTTTCTTTGCTGGAGGTGTTTGCAAGAACATTTGTTATTGTCCCATCGATACCACAGTTTAACCTAAATTCGGCAAATCCTCTGCAATCCACAAGTATATGATGCACAGTAAGTCGAGTTCCACAAAAACAGCACATTGGTGGAGATTTGTTTTCCAACACGTGAGAGTGAGTCAGCCGAGTGTGCCCGATGCGTAATCTGGTAAGAGCTCGCTGCTCAGATGAATTTTTTCTGTCAACAAATTTGCCTGCAGTAGGTTTGATTTGACGTAGGTGTGCCCAGGTTTGTCTCCACACATTTTCCCAAACACGCCAAATGCTTCCGCCCTTGATTTGCCAGTTTATCAGCTTCCTCATTTCCCAGAACTCCTGCGTGATCGGGAATCCAACAAAACACAATTTAGTTCCAATAACTTCGCGTTCAATTGCTTGGATGGAAGGATGAGTTGATTTCCCATTTTGAAGAGCGTCTAGACAGCTGGTCGAGTTGGTAAATATGATTGTTGGTTCGTCTTTGCTAATTTCTGACACAGCAGCTTTGAGCGCAAAAGCCTCTGCAGAAATTATACTGCTGTTTCCTGGCAAACTGAAGGCAGTTCTTTTGGTATCTGTAACGATTCCCGCACCAGTCTTCTCATTGTCCTTAGATCCGTCGGTGAATACTTTCCTGTGTGTTGAGTATTTATTTGTTACAAGCTCAACAAACATTGGCACAACAACTTGACTTGAAGTGCCTGCTTTTACTTTATCCCTGAAGTCGTTACTTATAGATGGTGATGGAGTATACCACTCTCTATTGGTTAGTCTTAGAAGACTACAGATGTTCGACATGGAGACTCCTGTTACTGCTAGAAACAGATCAGATGCTCGCTTAACCACTGGTAGGTCGGCTACTGATTTGTTTTTTTCCACAAGTCGTATTGCTAGTTGTGATATTTAGGCGCTGGATTAGTATTAGACGAAATGGCAGACACCCCGCTTCAGCCATAATGGAGGTAATTGGACTAGTTCTGAACGCGCCAGAAGCTTGTCGTATCACCTCATTATATGTTGGGGTTAGAGTACGTTCCATAGCTTCGATGTTGATGTTGGTGAAACCGAGGCCGTACAGTAGCTTGGAAGTCACGAGAGCTGAACCAATGGTAAGGAGAGTTGAACGGTTGCTTCTCACTAGACGACGTCCCAAAACTCGAAGTATGTTTAATCGCTGCACACAGCTACGTTTGGTTTGTGCAAAGTGCTGAAGAAGATAAATTTTCGCATCTATCAACACACCAAGAATTCGCATCTTTCTAACACGTGGTATAGGAGTACCATTGACTTTGATAGCCCGACCACGCTTTCGAAGTTTCGTATTGCAGATGTGTAATAACTTTGATTTTTCCGGAGCGATAGCAAATCCAACGCTCGTAGCCCAGTTGGTTAATTCAGTAACTGCATTTCGTAAGTGTTTCCGAATGTGTGCAAAGTTTCGTCCCTTAGCAATCAAAATTACATCATCGGCGTAAACTACAATTTGAACATTTGATGGAATCTTTTCGAAGATAGGTATAGGATTGCAACTAAAAATAGTGTGACCGACAGAATAGATCCTTGTGGTACACCGTTTTCTGCAACACGCATGCTGGATGTTGCTCCATTAGCTGTAACCCTAAATGTTCTGTGGTTAAGGAAACTAATGATGATGTTCAACAAGCGGCCGTTTATTTTCCATGTTGTCAGAGTCTTGAGGATTGCGGGTCTCCAGGTGGTGTCATAGGCTTTGGAAATGTCGAGTGATACTACTTCTGCATGTTGGTTCTCGCTGAGCTTGAGTAGTGCTTCCAACTGCGCCAGGTGTGAATCAGTGCCTTTGCCAGCACGGAAAGCGTGCTGGCGAGGGTCGAGTTTGCCGTTGTTTTCAAGCTCTCTGAGGAGTCGACGGTTCACCATGCGTTCGAATGTTTTTCCTAGGCAGCTTAGAAGGGCAATCGGTCTGTATCCGTCTGCTTTACTCCGATCTCCATCAGGTTTTGGAATGGGAATAACTATGCCTTCTTTCCACTCATCTGGGAATGTGCCACTTGTCCATACTTGATTGTACAACTGCAAAAGCGACAACTTCGCTGAGAATGGTAGGCGTTGTAGAAGAGGATAGCCGATGTTATTATTCCCAGTGGAGGAGCCTCCTCGTCCATCTAGGGCCCACATCAATTCATCTATCGAAAATTCTTCGTTGTACCGTTTATGGTCCCGGTGGTTTCTCGCAAAGAGAGTGGCGCTTAAGCCACCGTGTTTCACTTAAACCTAAAGCATTCTTCGCGAACGGTTACAATGTGCAAAATATTGCGATGCAGTCAATTATTATTTTGAAGGAACATCGCATCGAAAAGAAAAGTGCACGCTAACTTCAATTTACTCACAGGGTGAGTCGATCGTACTCACTTTCGTCCGATGTATCGAGTTGTCAAAAACTGAGTAAACAGGAAATGTCAAACTGAGTAAAAGCCACTCAGTCAGCAAAATCCTGGACTTAGAAAAAAGGTCAACCATGTTGAAGGAAACGTCCTAGAAAACGGGTGAATGTTTCACTCAAAACGGGCGGAAATTCTTTCAGGTAAGTAGAAATTGCGTAGGGCAATGGTGTTGAACCATTTTCTGCTCCGGTAGAATGAATCCGGAGCAGACAATTTTCATTTCCTTATATAAAATCAAAACAAAAACCCTCCCCGCAACTGAAAATACCGGTGAGTGGATTTGACTCAGTCTACGTGAGAACGTCGTTTACTCAAAAGTGAGTCAACATAAGGCTACTCAAATTTGAGTAGCCCTACTTGCCGCTGAGATGAGTACATTCGATTCAATTTTAAGTTGACCAGAATAAGCGTGTGAAAAGCTTGCTTCTAGCAAGGGTTGGAAGATAATTTACATACAAAACCCTGCTGCCGAATTGTATTTTGATTTCTCCGCCCATCTCTTCTATAGTCGCGAATAAAGTGACTATAATCTCGTCTCTTGGATCACCTTATACACTTCTAGTTTGATCGTAAGAGGAAGAGGAGTAGGGTTACCATATGGTATGCTAAAGGAGGACATGTCCTCCTTTTTCAACAATTTTTCTACATCCTCCTTTTGCCCGAAAATGTCCTCCTATTGCATTTTTTTTCCAGTAACATATTCATAAAATTGTTTTCAAAGAGCGTTGTTTGCAGGGCATATTTGTTTAATTATGTCGTAACCTCATCTTATATAGCAAACAGGGCTCTACATTTTCGAAGCTCTAAAATGAACTCGAGTTTTGTTTCTCTCATACAAACGTGTTCAACGCTTCATTTCTATAACGCCTAGCTAGACTATCAGCTAGAAACGAAAATAAAAAAGCAGGACGCTTAGAAGGAAACGCTGGCTGTGGATCTTCTCGTCGTTGCTTTGCTCATCGCTTTCAATGTAACTAACGTCGATTTTCTAGTTAAACGAACCTCATTATGGCTTTCAATCCCCTTTCACGAACACTCTATCACCGCTCTTTCAATTTGTTTAAAATGCGTTATGCCCCGTTGTCGTTATTTTTTTTTAGATAAATATATGGATGGGAGATAAATTAAACATATGACGTGTAATCTTCTAGTGTTTTCACGTGAGAAACGCTTTAAATATGTAATTTCATTTTCCGTCATATACGTCATGAAACCTCTGTTGATGTATTTCATGAAAGAGAAAACTATCAAAGTCGAGCGCTCTTTCGCTCATCCGTTTCACCGAAGCTTGAAAGGAAGACCAATGGAGCGACGGGAGAAAGAGAGACAAGCGATTGAATATTTGTTTGTGCACGCCGACTGAGGTTCTAGAATGCTGCCAAGCTGTTCGACTTTAACAGAAAAAGAAAGCCAGCAGTCTCTTCGTCGCATCGATTTGGTCGATTGAAGCTGATATTGTGAATTGCAAATTCCATTCGATAGTGGGATCAGGACAAGGGGTGGTCACTCTATACACGCATTTTGCACCTACTTTTCTCTCAGTGTGCCTCACGTCTGCCGCAGCTGTGCCGGCAGTGCCGAGAGTGTCATCAGACTGATTTTTTTTTTTTGTATAATGGTATGTTTGGCAACCCGGTTAATTCTAACTGTCGTCGAGTCACTCTCGATTCGTTGCTCCCAAATTCTATCGTAAGAGGACTACACTGAACCTAATAACCAACGGCCTCAGCCACCAAATCCAAGCTTGGAGCGATAATGTTCTCCGGGGGAGGCACTTCCAATTTTCGACAGGACAATAACTTCTACTGGACTGGAGTATGATGAGGACTCGGATGAACCACAGGTGACGCTGGTAATTAGACGTAGCGAGCGTGCGTCATCAGAGGAAACTGGTCCAGATGCTCTTCAGATTCTGATGAACGCTTCCGGGAGGAGTTTCTCCCGAAAGCCATCGACTCAATCAATCTAGTGGGAGTCTCAACCGAAATCAGACTTCCCTGGTGGAGATGGGGTTTAATATTTCCACACGGTTAGATAGTCCAATGATCGGACAAATGGAGGAAAGTATGATGTCTCTGGCGAAAAACAGTGCCGGCCAGAGAACACCTGTAAAAGCTGGGGTGCTGTCGATGGTAGAAAAGCAAACACCGGTGATCATCGAAGGCGAATACATCTACATATGTCATTTACGATGAGGAACGAATCATGGAACTGAATGTTGGTTGGCTGATCCTCGGGCTGATCAACGAAGTGGTGAAGCCTTACGGATTACATAATCAATTCGCACCTCATAGAGTTCGAAAAGCTGCGTTCGGATCGGTTCTATGAGA